TATGTGAAATTACTCCACTAGTTTGTTATAATTATTAATACAAAGATCTAACACTCAGAATCACTGGCCGGATCGAAGGACTTTTTCCAGAGATCTTTGTATTAATAATCATAACAAAATGTGTTTGTTATAATTATTAATACAAAGATCTCTTGCCAGGACTGGTAGCTCTAAAGGTACTAACTGGGTGATAAATCTGTCATAGATTTCTCATAGATGGCGCTACGACTAAAAAGTCGTTGAAAGACCAAGTACAAAGACACGACGCAAGCACATAGAAAAATTCGTGAGGTCCGTTGGTTCGTTCCGTGGCTTAGTTGGTATAGCGTCTGGCACGGTATGCAAGAAGACGTTGGTTCGAATCCGACCGGATCGAAGGAATTTTTTCTGAGTGTTCGATCTTTGTATTAATAATTATAACAAACTAGTGGAGTAATTTCACAAAAAATAATTGAATATCAATTCAATAAAAATTTAATTAAAATGTGTTTGTTCAATCATTTAAAAATAACCCCATATACATATATATTTACCTGTCCCTTAACTTTGCTTGCCGTGGAAAAAGAGTCAATCGAGTAGATTCCATGATCTCTTACCCGTATTCACTTCAAATGATATAGACCAAAAACAAGAATTTAGAGTTAACCTGTGTAGACGACTTTCTATGTTGAAAACAGAATTCATCTACTTTGAAATCATGAGTTTTCCAAACCATTACTGTCAATATCAGGCAATTAATTTCATTAATTAGTTAAAACTATTCAGCCAACATTCCAAAGGTTTTAGGGTCTTTGAATAGGTAAGTAAATTACAATAAATGGTTATAATAAGCAGTTAATTTACAAGTGTAAAGGAATACTTAATTTGACAATTGTCAATAATGGCATCATCTGAAGATCAGTTAGAATTTGTAATTTTAATTGTTCTTCATATTGTCCTCTTTGAAGATAAGGCAATTTCGTATTTAAATTTATAGCGGCATTCATCAAAAACGTTATTCCGTTTGTTTGTTTCTTACAGTTGAAGGTTTCATTTTCAAAATAATTAACGAAATCAATTATGTATATTTCCCAGACGAATGGCATGAATAATTTTAAAGATGAATTGAAAGAAAGAAAGGAAAATATTTATTTCACATAAAAAAATGCAAAGTAAATCATAGTAGCTATACAGTGCGATCCGAAATTGAATGCAAAACAATACGACGACAGTTTAAATAAACATCAGTACAGAGTACTAAAAGAACCGACCTCAAAAGTACGTGGAATTACGTCTATTTGCTAAGTTTTATTGAAATATCCCCTAGTTCGCCACTATACAGGACTATAATCGGTTCTCGCTACTCAAAGTATATTGAGAGAAAAACGCCTTGAATTGGAGAAATAGCAAAATCAACCATTAAAATAATTGCTCCTAAATTAAAGTTAGGCGCTATTTATAAAAATGAATCTTCATGCCTGAACAGCCACCCTTAAGGGTGGATGATTTTCTTCAAAATGAAATGGGACCACTACGGAAGTACCCCCTTTCTAACAAAAAAAGAAGCATGAAAATCGGTTCACAAATACCGGAGTTATCGCGTAACATACATACAAAAAAAAAGAACATACCTACAGTCGCATTAAGAACCTCCTCCTTCCCTCCTCGCAGACCGAGGAACAAAGTTAATAAAAAAAATAAAAAATTAAATTAAATTTTTCTACTCACTGTCTATTATAATTTCATAATGCATATCACAAAGGCGCTCTATTTAATTCTGATCCATAATTCTATTGTCTATGGTATTATCAATGGTGTCGTCGATTATATAACCAGAAAATAGAGACGAAATGTCATGCAATTTGTTAGAAAACTATTCTGCCAAATCAAACTGCGCTCCGATTGGTCAGCCCGCATTCGAAACAATTGACGGGTGTCAATTGTGTGTGTCACTTCAAATCGACTAGTTTAACTTGAGCCTTGCTATAACGAAAATGGGAAAACTACATATTTAATTACTGATGAAATGTGATTTCATTTGTTTTGTAATTAGATGTTTTGCTGTTTTCCCGCAGCACCGAAAGGAACAGCGCCCTATTGTTAGAGATATTATCTTTATTACATATACAGAATATTTTTGGAATATACGGAGACGTATACACAGGTCAATTGTTGGCGCTGTACTATATCAGCTTTCTAATTTGTGATTTCATCGCAAACGAGAGTTTATATCTAAAAGTGATATATGGCCCATTTGCCTAATGAGTTGCCAGAGATGGATGGCCCTTATTCCGTCTCTTATTCTGGTTATATGCTCGATGAGTTCTGTACACAGAACTTTCAAATAAAGAACGTCGTATTTTCGATAATTATTTTCGAGTCTCCTTAAACGCTGTGTTCCTGATAACATCACTCTATGTGTAAAATTATTAAAATATAAATTATTTTATAAAATGAATATTTCTAAATGTTACATAACAGGTACAAGGGTATCCGTTTGTCAAAAAATAACTATTTAAAAACATGAATATATAAAATAGTCTTTAAATATAGTTTGTGTGTCATTATTTTAATTTACTCATAGAAAAAGTATTGGATGCAACCATTACATAACATTCATATTGCCTTAGAATAATAACGCATAGAAACCTAGTCCGCACACGCTAAGTGAGGCAAATTGAAGCGCTCCCAATGGGCCTACACGAGCGGGCGGGCCTTCAGTGCTCAAGGTCAACTTGCACCGCGAACAGCTCCAGAATTTTAGCGAAAAATTACGAAATGTGCGGTAAATGAGTGTAAAAATACGTCAGACAAACATAAAATAGATACCAACATCACATTCCACAAGGAAGTAACGCGTTGCAACTTGTATTTTTATATAAATATTCACTAAAACCGAAAATTAACCTACTACTAAAACTAGTCTACATGAATTTGATTTTTGCCTCACTTGTGACAGTTCGTTTGATATGAAACTATCACTCTATGCGTTATTATTCTAAGCATACTGCATAAAAATAAAACTCACAACCTATGCAATTTAAATTTTTATTAGTTATGACCGTATCTGTGTACCTACTAGATAATCACAGAAAGAATATGAGACTATTCGGTTAAAAAGAAAAAAATATTAATCAGTACAGAGTACTAAGAAAATCGACCTCAAAACCTAGATTGCCACCCTTAGAGGTGGAACATGTTCTTCAAATTTAAATGGGACCACATCTGAGGTACCCTATTTCCAAAAAAAAAAGAATCATCAAAATCAGTTCACAAATAAGTTATCGTGTAACGAACATATGAAAAAATACATAAATTCCAATTGAGAACCTCCTACTTTTTTGAAGTCGGTTAATAACATATCATTCCTTCCCATTACCCCACAGTTTAGGAATTGGGAGCCGGTAAGTATCCCGTATGTCAAATGGGAGCCATTTTAAATCAAAACAAATAATCAATCTGAAAAAATCATTGACTTACAATTATATGGACGTCGGGTCCGCGCTAAAAAGTGTCCGCACTTGTAAGGCGCTAAAATCGTATACAGAGCGCCAAACTCCGCTTTAGTCTTCATTTGTTCGACTGACAGCGCGATACTGCGATGACATTACAATTTAAATTTCGAATAGGTTAACTTGGGACATTTTTTTCGTGGTTTTTGTATTAGACCCATCGTCCATTTATTTGTAAGTCAATGGAAAAAATATATAAATTAAAGTAATGAAATATGTAAGTTTAAAACGAATGAAAATAAACAAGAAACTGTTTAAGGTATGTGGAATCTTCAGTAGATATTGCAATGGGGTAAGGAAAGTCAAATAGCTCTCATTGCCCGCGTAATATCAAATTGAAAAAAAAACCGTAAAAGCATTTCTATTTTTATTGCAAATAGCATAACACCATTGACTTACAATTATATGGACGTCGGGTCCACGCTAAAAAGTGTCCGAACTTATAGAGCGTTAAAATCGTATACAGAGCGTCATTCACGCTTTAGTCTTCTTTTGTTCGACTGACAGCGAAGCAAGCAAAATTAGACAGTACTGCGATGACATTACAAAAATAAATTCAACGTTTTAGCTTTTTCATATTCCTTTTCATGTCACTACGTT